CTGGTGCCTGTTGTTAAGTCGACTTCGTGGGTTGTCAAGCGACCTCGTCACCAGGCACGGCCTTGAAGTTGCCCTTGTCAACACAGAGGGCATTACTGACCTGGAAATGCCTCCAAACCGTCTTTATAAAACACATCGAATTGTCCACGTCGACAGATTTACATACAAAACACAAGAAGTTCTCATCGCAGGATGGAAAATATTTGTGATACGATTAAAAACCTCACAGGCAATACAAGGCATCGCCAATTACCAGGCGTGATTTCTATGATCGAATGCCACTCCACCTGATTGAAATCGACAATGGTTTGAATTACCAATTGGGTCGCCAAATGAAGGGACGTGTAAATTTCAGACGCTTAAATTTCCCAGTATTTAGTGACACTGGCAGGCATGCAAATCAGTGCTGTCTAGATTACAGCCGGCCTTCGATGAATCACCCAGGCGTCCAACTACTTGGAAAGATCTCCATCACACGTGCCTCAGTATCGTCGTCGACCAAAACCGTTTCACAGTCTCGTATTGCACGAATCGGCAAAGTGATTGTCAACAAAACACGATTCACTCGATCGTCCCACTCCGCAGATGAGATTCCCTCTGCTACCCAGCTTCCCAAACCTGTCTCACCAACTAAAAACGCCTCAGATCCGCCGTGACAATGCGATGGCGCGGGTAACAAACAGGACATTGGCGTCTCCCAGCGTGTTTTTGCCGTGTCACATTTAACTCGTCTAAACGTCGATTTCACATTCAGCACGGGGAGTTTTCCGACAAGTGTGCAGTGAGTTTGTTTCTTTTTAGAAGTCAAAACCACATGCTAGAATTATACATTTGGTATACTTTCTACAAGGAATAAATTGGGGTTGCATCGTAATGACGAAATTGTGATGGGGCGATGAATAAACGCTGAAGCATTTGTCTTGGATTTACAAACAGCTTCAAGGTAGCATCTTTGGGTAATAACTACTGCTTGTCACACCTCTAACTCCGTCCAAATTTTGGCTATTTTAACCTCGATGAGTTAACTCGTACTCAGGAATAGAATTTACCAAACGCCAATCCGGATGTTCTAGTGGGAACCGTAAAAAACCAGGGTAATTGAAAGTACCGATATCAAGGCACTAGAATAACACAAAATGAACGATTTCGCTACAGCTCCGGAGCCACATAACCACGACCTCCCCGTGAGGATGCAGCCCCCGCGAGTGTTCAAATGGTCGCTGATGTGACCGAATCAGCGGTGTTAAAGGCTAAGTCATCTCCTGCAGTTGATTCCATACAAGGGATGCTCACCATTTCGCGGAAAACAACACAAAAGAAGTAGTGATTCTGAGGTAGACAGGAATTACCAGACCTGCAACGACTTGCTTCAACCACGGAAGTTAATTGCCCATATTTAACAAATTTCCTTGTCGGTAGTAGTTAGCTTGGCCTCACACCAGTTCAGAGTACTTTTAGACATTTCTGTGAAAGAGGATGCTCGCTGAACGTCACATTTGACTCGTCTAAACGTCGATTTCACATTCAGCACGAGAAGCAGTTTTTGGACAAGTGTGGCGTGACTTCGATTTCTTTTACAAAGCTAAATCCACAAGCTAGAATTACCGATTTGCGACACATTCGATTATCAATTGGGTCACCAAAAAAGGAAACACATGCGACTTTCACATGGGCGGAAACATCCCATCCCAGTTTAGAAGTTGGCAGTTCCATAAACACACACACACACACACTGTCCCACACGTTTTTGGTGTACTGCTCATCGCTTTGGCAAGTTTTTACTGTGTCGGGAAAACTTAGGCAACTCCGTTCAAGTTTTTTCACATTTTGTGCTTTTGCGTAAAAAACAGCAATTAAAGGGGGGGGGCAGGGCATTTAGTGAAGGCGCGTTTTGTGTAGGAAGTCGTGAGTTTAGTGGCTTAGTGCTGTAAGGTCGTGGCAATAAACGCTGACCTCTTCAAAAAAGCCTGCTTTTAGGAATGCAAAGAGCGCAAAACGCAAGTGTTTTGCAAAGAAAAACCATCAGTTTGCGGACTACACACAGATCGTGACCTCAGGTATCAACGGAACGACACATATTACTTGCATTTTATAAGTAGTATGGTAATTTAATTGGAGAAGAGGCTCGTCAAATAAGCAAGACTTCCGCCAATTTAGGTTACTTGCCGCACCCGAGACAAAATTGACGCCACAAAACTGAAAACACAGCGGAAACATTATAATTGGCGCTTCGACATAGCATAAACTGCCCAGATGTCAACAACCCCAAGTTAATTTTTTCCCAACAGATACTTGGGTGAGAAAGCACTGTGTTTTTATCAACGTGATTGGTTTCTGTGAGTGTCTACGGACAAGAGCAATACAAAGTAGCCCCATTTTGCAGACGATCAGCTACAACGGGTGGATAGTAGAAATACAACTGACCTTCACGATGCAGGGTTTCGCACTCGCGCCATGTCGATTGCTGCCAGATCCTCTACATCCATCCGCGGCTTTCAGCACGGATTGCACTCGGGAAAAGTCGACAACCTCGGAGTCGGCTGAAACGGAAAAAGCAGTTTTGTGAATTTTAAAATATTCACGTTACTTATATGTTATAAGTAGTTACCTTGAAATACAACGTGACCACCATTACCGCCATCGCCGCCGCTGGGACCGGCCGTGGGGTTGCAGAAGAGACGCTCGAAGGCAATGCAACCGTCGCCGCCCTTTCCCGCGTGCACAACGACACGTTTTAGGTCCACAAAGGAACGCGACTACAAGGAATGTGCAGTTAGGCATCAAGCGCATCCTACCGTATGGCCGGTCGCACGCGCCTTCGGTCTCTGCCGAATCTCAACGCCCGATGTAGACGGACTTTTAACAGACGATAAAAATCGAGTGAGGAGGTAAGGCGGCAAAAACCTGACCGTGTGGAGGTCTAAAGTAGCCAACATTGACGTCCTGAGGCGGAACCCCGACATGGACCTAAAATAATCGAGAGACGATTTTGGCTGATGTTTGTGCGGCTGATTGAGGCGAAATTTTAGTGATATTTGGGTGCATATTGGAAGGTCAGTTGCTTAATCTAGGCAATGCCAAATTAATTTGAATTTTTGTTGTTTATCAAGAGCCAAAGCAGCCAATTAACGCAACTACTTAAGTAATAGCGGATAAAAATTGATGATCCTTGAAAACTAGCAAGAACTAGAGGTACTCGAGGGTAGCAGAAATCATTTCCTCAGTGATAAAGTCTCAAAATTGATGGAACCATACACAAACGTCAGAGCATTGCATTAACAGCAGTAAAAGCTACGAGAACGAAGCCCACATTAACGCCCGTTTCGTGTGGTTCAATCGACGCCTAAAACTTAAGTTACCGCCTGATATAAATAAAATTTCTCAACAACGTGGACGAGTGAATGCACAGAGGATGGGCAATAGGGATACAATCAAAGTATTGAAGTTAGTTCCTTCCTGCTAAGAAACCACAGTGAACAAAAAGCAAACCAACACATCAAACTAAAAAAAGCAAGTAAGGCAAAGCAAAAGACACTCTATTCTAGGAAAACTTGATCGGTTTATCAAGGCCAAATAATCTGTCCCTCAACTGAAGGTCACTAAAGCCGGATTCGAGAACGAAGAGGGGAGTCTTGTTGTTCACTGTCATGTTTGCAAAGCTCAAGCTGGAAACTGAGTAGGAGACGTTGTCGAGGTTAAATTCAACCTTCTTCGGACGTAGAAAAATCGATTTGGTGTAGGCGGCGAACCGACCAGTATCCGGGTTATAGCGAATTAGAAATACACAAGATCGCGTCAAGATGTGCAGGAGGATGGGTGTAAGGGCAGCAAAGGCAAGGCTGGAAACTAAAAATGGTGTATAACTTGCGAATGATGTGAATTTGGAGAAGATAAAGGGTTGAGCGGCTAAAACTAGACTGCTGGACGTAAGTGAAAACAATTTTACACCGATAACAAGGTTAGAGATGGGGCAGGTGTAGATTTGTTTGCTTGACGCAAACGAAGAAAAAAAGGAGCCGAGAAAAGGGGTACGAGACCAATGGTGTAAAAGAAGGCGCTTTGAAAATGTTCGAGTCAATAGGACGGAGGCCATTTCGAAAACTAAATGTAAAGAGTCAAATGTAACCATTAAAAACGATTCCGTCGGTAGTAATAAGATTGTAAAGTGTTCGCACAGTGTAAACATAAAAGTGCATTTGACTTTGAACGCAATACATTCATTAGACTACATGGTCTTACCCACGTTTTAACTACAAGGATGTTGACAAAGAAATATTATCAGTAGTTTCGGAAGTACCAAGTGATTAAGAAAAACAAGATTAAGTCCCGCATACCACAAAGACATATGTTTGCGATGAATATTCCGAAAAGCTTGATTTTATAAGACCAAATAGACTGTTTTTAAAGGAATGAAGCAGGCCTTCTCCACAGAATGATGATAAAGTATCGATTCGACAGTAAGATGGCAAAATGAAAAAAAACTTAAAGGCAATATGATTCTACTTTCAAGATATGAAACCACTAAGCTGTTATACTGTTGCTTTAACCGACCTGAATGATTGAATTGCAAAACCCCAAAACTGGTATAACTTATATTCTATGGTATTAGATAACGTAAGTGTCATAACGCCACCTAACTAATATATTAGTACATTTAAAAAATTAAGCAAAAATATTAAAATTTGGTTCTCAAAAAATAACATGTTTCTCAATAACCAGACATACAATGTGCACACCCACTTAAATAATCTACTGATTTTGTATGACCTTAGCTTGGACAAATAATAATAGGCTCACCGAACGTCGATGACAAAATGCCATTTAAAATGATATTAAAGTGAAATATCTACACGAATCTTATTACCTAACATTATCGTGGGTTAGAATGTCTTTTCCTAGAATGTAATATCTGTGAGCATTATGCGAATTACAAAAATGAAGTTGAACTCACGTGAATTTTATTTATGTCCCATGGTCTTGTACATTATCTCATGCATCTATTAAATACAAACAATATGACAAAGGTTTCTTAATAGACATTATCAAATACATGCCATTGTTGCCTGTATGCTGTGATTTTTAACGATCACAAACATAATTAATCGCGGTACATAGTTGTAATTTATTTTAATGAATATTTATATGCAACAGTTTTAAAATGCTTAACTATCAATAATGATGTTGCACGAAATGGTTTGCAACCTTGAAAAATTTTAAACCGTCCCGTCTGCTTTCACGAATGCAGAAACTTTCACCTAAACCTTTCACCTCCTGTCGTAATAACCCTCAATTAATATATCAATTTTCATTAAAACCTGGACGCGTTTTACTGATTAGCCAATGCATTATCTGCTCCGTATGTAATGGCGTTTCCTAAAACCATCATTACTTTTTCAATGGAACATGTTCCAAAAGAGGTTATTGGGAAGGCTCTATTTCTATTTTTTGTGGCGAGCAGCAAGCAAGCACAGTAAACAGTCGTGAACAAACGCAGTGGGCAAGCGTGAGTGAGCACAATGCAATTTTAGTCAAATGACCGTACAATCATTTGTACATTGATAGGTTTACACTGACTGTATTGATCGACTGTCCCAGTTAGTTCGACACTTTTTTTATGCGCATTGGTGCGTCCATCACAACTCTGTTGAGCTATTTAGTAACCAATTATTGCTGTAATTTTTAGTCTCTCTCTTATCTCCTGGGCTATCTGAGTGGTCTAAAAGGGTCAAAATTATACACAGAGATCTCATCTTACTTCAAGACCATATGCTGATGTTTGTACCTGCATTCCTAAATGAGTTTGAATGTGAAATGCTGACAGAATGTTGTATATTATTTGGCAATGAACGTTTGTCGGAGTGATTAATGGTAAACGTACCGAAGTGCTATTACCTATGGCATACGCTACGCAAATCAAAACCCTCTCACTAAAATAAATTAGAGCCTTACTACTAAACACTAGCAGAAACTATTGCATTTCTAATCATCGGTAAAATTAGTGGCTTTAATCTTATACAAAATGAGGAATAACGAAAATTGGCGGTTCTGTGCTGAGACCCATTTGAGGTAAAATGTCGACGAGGTTAATTCGGTATTCGCGACAATATTTACATGAATGAACGAGAGTGTGTTGACTTACTAGAACTACTGTATATGATGGTTTTCCGAGCAATTTTACTTAATAGGCCAATTTCATACAATCAATTGGGTCATTGAAAATACATTCTGAATGTACGTATTAATATTACCGATTAAAAAGCGTCTCAAACAATTAATAATTTTTTGGTTTCAATAATACATGCATGAGTAATAAGAGACTAAAGTGTTTGTGAGATTTTTAAAGTGTTAATGTTAAATGGAGGTAGATAATTACAAAAAAGATCATTCCTCTTTTTAAAAAGAATATTTGGATTTCACACATGAAGATCTTTTAAAAGCATCAACTTATGACGCGAATTGAGGTACCCTAATCGTTAGATCTATGTCATTAAAGTACTCACGCTTTCCTGGCAAAATGTATGTGTTCATCTCAGATGTGCATTTATTTAAAAAAGTTCAAATTTTTCTAAAATAAAACCCTATTAACGATGCTTTTTAACTGCGAGGCAAATTAATGTTAACCTATCACATTTGTTACGTTCGTAGGCACAATCGGTTGCTTAAAATTAATGCTCTTCAAGTTTAAAATAATGATATGGTATCCATTTTAAGTATATTTACTTGCTCTAGGGTCTGTAGTTGTCTTCCAACGCCAATGTTGGTGACACTTTATTGTATTCGTGCTTATTGACTTTAAATATCATTCGAAATTTCAAAAACCGCATTGTTGGTGTAAATTCCACAATTTTATTCTTATTCTGAAAATCATGTATTAATGCCTACTTTTGAGCCAAGTTGTTATTTGTTCCTCAGGTACAGTCTATAAAATTCATTACTAATACATTGAACAAAAACGTAATAATTGGCATTTTCTCTTGAAAACAAGTAGGTTTATGGCGTTCGAACCGGCATAAGCTGTGGAGGGTCAAGTATGAGTCATGTATCGATGGATTTATTACAGAAATGGATCAGCCTATTTAGAAATCTCTCGTTTGGTGATTGGTTTCTTGGTTCAGTTGATTGAAATATCGCGTTTCAGGAGGTTATATCGTTGTGTTTGGTAAACCTGTACATCTCAATATTGAGGGCAAGGATTTACAGAGGCTAAAATTTCAGTGCCAACTAAACTAGTTAGCTAAGAGGAAAAATTTCTTCGTGTATGAGTGACCAGAATTGATGCCAGACTATATTTGCTCTTAGGAATTTCCACAAAAACCGCCCACAATGTCTCATGATTCTTTCGTGTTTAGAGGACGTTAAGTTGGGTTTAACCCCGATGGGTGTTTGATCTCACTGAAATCAGTAGACCAGCTGTGCGTTTTCGTCTAATGTGGCATTTAATAGAAGTGTTCCCTAAAATGAGAATTACAGGCTCTTTTAGTGCCAGAGGTTCAGCATCCTTTCAAGATTTTTGCATTTTTATATTTTTCATTATTATCCGCGTTCCTACACACCAACTTTTGAATTCACATTTCCCTCCTTCTTCCTATTGGCCCATTCGTCTTCGAGTGCATTATTTCTCTCACCCGCACCCAAAGGTGCATGTAGACGTGCACTCGGCCTTCGGCTGAGATAGTGAAAGCTCTATTCGTGAGAACCCATCTCTTCACTCAAACGTGTTTTGACTAAGTGCTAGCGTGCGATTCGAGATTTCGCACCTCTGTACAGGGAACCGTAGCCTACTGTGCATTTCATAATGTCAGCTTTAGTACTTTTTCTGTATTTAATTCCTAGAAATGCTTTGAGAAAGGTAAAATTACTGCTGTGGTTCCTCCGAATTTCCCCTGGGCTTTCCAAAACTTTGGACCATTTTTCTCCATATAATTACTTCACGCTCCCTTGCCAAGCAGTCTTGCATTTTGCCCGCTGTTACCTCTTCAAGTCAATTGTCTAGTCTAGTTGGCCTCTTCTTCTACTTAAGTCTTTGATGCGGATTAGAATATAGCTATTTCAGTAAAAACAGTGGCTTTTTCAGGTCAAACTGTTGCTGGAACAACGATACAACTATTCTTGCTGCGCATCCTTGAGAAGAAGTCGACGATTAGCATTAAATCACCATTCTTTCCTCACAAAGACCGCAGATTGCCGCACATATTGTACCATTTGTATTTTGAGGAATCGGTTATTCTTGTTGACGACGCTGAAGTACTTGTAGGTATATCTCTTAACATCAACCTAGTCCCCCGTTTAAACTCACATTAGCAGACGCCGAATCAGGTAGTAGTGCAATAATTAAAATATACAAATACGAGGTCAGTCAGAGTTGAGTAAGCAGCCAACTCTCGCTCTTTCACAAATGCGCTAACAGCTCGTTTGATGATAAACCAACTAATGTGAGCAAATCTTGCCTGTGTCAATTTGACTGACTTACTCATATCGGCATCTGCAGAGATGAAATCTGTATTGAATGCCAACGGAAGAACGCGCATTCATTGTAAGGGTGCTTAACTGAACAGACGCCTGGAGAAATATACAAGATTCAACCTTGAAGTAAGACACTATACCCAGTCCCTTTTACCGGTTTGAATCAACGAGTTCTGGCAGAAATCTTCCAAGAACCGAACGGTCAAAATGTGTTTGCAACCTTGAAAGCAATCTGATTGTTAAAGCTGCCTTTAATGTGAAATTCCACGACAGGAAATCAGTCATCATCCTCGAAAGTGTAGTCCAACGCCCACCGCCAGCCATCTCGCTTACACCGGACCGGCATTTTAAACGAGGATAGTTTAGACTGTCGCGCAAAAATATGCCCAAATCGGTAAGCATTTCCGCCAAAAAAGATGCCACGTTTCCAGAGCAACGAATGTGAAGTGACGATGCAGCAGTCAAGTAGAACGGCCGATCCAGTTGACATAAATCTGAGTAATAGGAAGGTGGTAACCCTCGTGTACTTCTCGAGAAGGCTGTCAGCATCATCAATGTTGCAGTTTGGTTGAGTTTTTTGAATTTCAGGCTTGATATGGCTGCTCTTATTTGACGGAAATGTAGCATCCAGCCATAATGCGGCAGTACTCAACAAGAATTTTCGGCTGTAACTCATTCAATACATTATCTTACCAATTTTGCGTATTCAACAGTCCAACATCTGACATACTATATTTTTGCATCCATTAGCAATACCTAAGCACGATTTGATTGTTTAAGCGCATTGTATTCCACTACCTTTATCCACCCTACTCCCTCAGTTTTTAAGAAACCTAATTTCGCTTATTTTAACCACAGGAGGCTATTCAAATTGTGCCATCCTCATCAGAGATGGCCAGGTGGAAAAAACCTATGACAGACATTAGCAGAAATTTATCTGCTCAAAAATCTTTACTATCTGTTCCACTCAATCTTTGCTTGAGCCTTTAGTGCCATGAAGTTTGAACCAAAATCCACAGGAGTTGTCCAGAACTCATGACTGTAAAACGCTGAGGTCCATTGGTTGAGACAACAGAGGGAATGATTTTTAGCAGACAGAAAGCCACGTAGTTAAACTTTGGTTGCCTGCATTACGGGGACAGTTAACTCTCATTATTTACTATAAGATGCCTAAATACTTTAATAATAATACTCGAGTATTTTGTCAAGAGGGCTGCCCAATTGTCAGTTAATGAGGCTGTGGGATAGGGCAGAGTGGTATCCTCCTTTCTCGAATGTGCAACTCGGATATTCAACACCCAGAGGTAATTAACTAACCCGATAGTCTGTTCTCTTGGGAAGATCAAAAACACCATGGGGATTTGCCGTTTTACATAAATGCGTATCCTTTCTACTGCGTACACACATCAACTTGTCGGATAGAGGCACTTTCCTCACGGTGCACTGCAAGTTATCTCGATAATGCGATGCCACTGTGCTGAGGGCTGATTAGACCAATTAAAGCTCTGTCAAATTGTTTCTTGATAGATTTTTGAAAAAAACCACAGATTTTCATCACTGTAATTTGCAGACTTCGTTCAAAACAGCATACACATCACGGGAAACCAGTTTCCTGTCGTGGCAGATGGCCATTATTTGAATCGTTCTTGTACTAGTTATAATTATGGATCAGAACCCTGGCTCTATTACTAGGGCGGTTGCAGATACCGTCACAAATTACGCACGTGATGGCTAATTTCAGCTTATGTTACCAGTGATGTAGTTCCTAACCCTCCCATCCATTAAGTGTGTCCAATTAAATCCGGTCATACCCAAAACAAGGTCACTCCCAATTAGTTCTATCTTCGGGCCTCTAGTCTTTGCACTTGACCGACTTTTTACACTGATGTGGACGATCAAGAGTGGCCTCTCCGTGTGGGGAATCCGACGCGAGTTCATGGCTGTATAAGTAATATTGCAATTACAAGGCTTTTGTGTTCGAACGAACGGATTTACAAAGTTGTTTGGCGGGAAAAGTGACCAATAGCACGAGGGAACATGTCTGAGGTTGCCACTAGAAAGAAAAACTGATGCTTTGATTAGGTGTTGCAAGATCTGATGCTGGCAACTATCCAAGTAAACGAAGTAACTTTCTCTCACCTAAAATTCCCCTAAGCTGTCTGCTGATGTATTTAGTTTATTTGTAGCCTCTAGATGAAAGGTTTGCGCAGTTGGGGTTCGAACTTGTGTCCTTGGATTTGGCAGATGGGTTTACTGCCAGTGCTCAACAGTAGAAGCGCTCGCGGTTGAGCTAAAGAACATTTGGGCGTATTTGGTTAAGGAGTTTCACCCTTGTTAGGTCAAAAACCATCCTAAATCCAGTAAAGATAATCCAAATTTTGATTCACTGTGTCAAGTCTTACCTTTAGTAGTTAATCAGTCATTCACTACGTCCTAAGGAAGCATAAAGTGGCCATGGGTGGGAAGTAAGACGGCACCCAGACAGGCTTCTTCAGACGTAGACAGAATCAAATGAAGATGCAAATTGCCCCTCCGGATATACGAGTCAGACTCGAGGAACAGCAGAAACAAACCGTCACGGTGGATTTTAATTGCGGTCATCCTAAACAATAAATATTATGACAATGTTTGGAATAGACAGTAAGCGTTAAACAGTAAATGCATACAAGAGATAGAGTCCTGACCACTACTGTACATTTTGAATAGTGTTCAACAAAACCAATGTAGTATAACAAAGGGATATACGAAATTAACATGAAAAATTTTGCCGATCTGTTTAGCTGTGGTTGCACCAATGAAACGCTGCCACGTTTTATTTAATGACCCTTCTCATACCATTGTTTTAGTCTTCTGCGTATCGATTGGGAAACCACTTCTAATCTTCTTGTCAATGATTGGTCCTTGTAAGTTGTTTATTTGTTACTTGAGATCTTGTGAGGTTTTCAGGGCCAATGAAAGCGAGGTCCGTCTAGTCTGAAAAATCAAATTCACTCGAAACGACTCCAGAAATATCGAAAATGCGAGAGTACTTGCCCCTGCGCCAAATCGAAGTAGTCAGCGTGTGTTTACTTTTAAGTCGAAACCTCTTGGGTGCGACACACCGAGCAACCGGTTTTGTCTCGTTCGATCCCCTGGGATCAAAGTGAGCGCACTCGCGTTCAGCCCCGCCGCCGCCTCCGCCACCCTCCCTCCCTCCTCCTGTGGAATCGACCAGGGAGAGCTCTTGGCGAGGTCCCTTAGGAGCGGAAGAAGGTATCAAGGGGGTAGGATGGGGAGGAGGCTGGTTGGAGAGCCTTGAGTGTCCCCAGGGAAATCGATTGTCGCCAAGCCGATGCAGAAGCTTCTAGAAATGGTCAATTTCAAAATCGCTGCTTCGATGATGCGCATTGAGGTAAACCAAATCGAAGTGGTAAAAGTATCGATTGTATGAACGGCGAGTGAACGTTGACGTAATATCAGACGGTGTACTTCTTGCAACCAACTCATTAATCTGTTGATTCACACTCGTTAATCCGGTCACTCGAGCCTCCTACACAGGGTCCCCCTTTTCGCAGCATGTCGCCAGCAGCGCGGGTCCTCAATTCCTCCCTTATTCACACAAATATTTATCTTGGATTATCCTCACACCTAGGTCTCGATGTTATCGCATGTATGACTCACATCTGAGGTATAAATACACACGCGCAAACCCCACACACGACACAACGAGACCAACGTGTTTGAGTTCTGAAGTAAACGGTTGTGTCCACGTCCTCTCGGGTCTTTTTCTTCATTGCGGGCATCGGGAAGGCGTAATCGGGTCAGGATTAACATCAGTGGTTCCGCCGCGGTTCAAGACCACATTCTGAGGCCCACAACAATCCCGAGAGTAAACTGAGGTGTGTCAGCGCCTTGGTTTGAAAATCATCGAGTTCGTATTTCAAAACTAGCTGCGCTGGCTGTTGGGCGATCGCACAGTGATCGAAATGAGCTCCAAGTCGGAGTCACCAAATGTTGTGGGCCCTAGCATGAGGTCTCAAACCGACTACGCTACTCTGATACCCGCGAAGACTGAAAATTTCGAAGAGGGCGAGGCACAACCGTTTACTAGATAGCCCAACTAATTTGTCCTTGTGTCGTGGGTGGTGTTTGCGCGTGTGCATTTATAGCTCTGGTGTGTGAAGTAGAGCGGGTCATAGATGTGTTAACATCGCGAATTGGGTGAGTGGCATCAGTCGAGGCTCCACTAGGGATTGCTGGCTTCCAGAAAATCCTATTTTGATCGATACCACACCTAGTCTAGCCGACACGTCTGTATTCCTACTCACTGAAAGAATGGCACGAGTGGTTTATTCACTATCTACAGCTACCAACATTCCTACCATCACCGCCAAAAGCGTCTGACAAGACAACGGACGAACTGGTTCTCCTTCAGACCAGTTAGCTCCGAATTTCTTTAGTATTTGGGGAAACCGGTTCCCTGGGTGACCGGGGCTCTAGCACACCACTGGTCATCGTAACAGCTGATGTCTGCCCAATCAGATTCGCTCACACGTGCGCACCAGCGCGTGCACGCACAAAGCGCGCTTCCTCGCTCCCAAGACAACACTTCTCCCCAATGACTTCTGCTGGATTGAGAGGGTCCCAGACAGTCGTGATTCCAGACACCGCGCAAAGTAAGTATTCCCTAGATTATACCAGATAAATCGCCATTTGGCTTTTAATACAAGTTCCTACGCTCAATTGTTTTGCACAAATAAGCGAACACTTGAGTTTGGTTTGTTGAGTTGTTGGGCGTTAAGACGCGATAATTCCGATTTTTCTCCACGTTTCGAAGTTATGGCTACTTAGTTCACTCCAAGGACTTACTCGGAGTGTGTCGTGTAGCTTCGATCAATGTTGAATTTTATCAGCTTGTTTGAGTTTGACGAATGGCAAACTTACATCGCTGACTAACTGGCACTTTCGACTCGTGTGTGTGTGTTATGCAGGGATCTGCCTCCACTTAGGTGGACGATAATTCTGCCAAATTTTACAATCACTTTTTCGATTATATTAGAATAATTATTTACAGGCGATTGTGGCGAACACCAAGCCGTCGTGATCGAACGCAGCGTGCGGGCGTGAGCGAACACGATTCAATCGATTTTTCGTGAATGCGCTTCACGCAGGTGTGTGCGCTCAGAGATCGATGCACTTGGTATCTTGTGCAGACACACACACACACACCGCTCCTGCATCAATCAATAAGTCGGGCTACGTACCATCTGCATTTTTTACTCTATCTTTCGGTCGGACCCCGGTGTGGTTTTCTAAACGCTCCAATCAGGAGTAATAAGGGTTGGCGAATAATCGATGCATGGATATTTCGGATTGCCACCTTAAGCACAGGTCGGTATAATAGTCTTCATTCCCATTGGTTTGTGGCGAACAGCAGACTAGCACAAATCAATCGATTTTTTCGTGAATGCACTTCACGCAGCTGCGTGCGCTCAGAGATCGATACTTAGCAGAGCTATATAAACGCACCTGTTATCCTGTACACACACCCCGCTGGGGGCCTTGTTTCCCGGATCCGCATCGGGGGACCGCTACACGATCAGGCATTAATCAGTGAACAAAACCCCACGTTGACATTGACATTTACCAAGTCGGGATCATCAGTAGCGACCCGTTAAGCTCGAAACGGCTTGGAATTGGGTCGGTACAATCAACGCGATTCCCTACATGATTGTACCGGCCCAAGATGTGTAAATGAGCCAAAAACTATCCATCCATTCACTGCCCTAAATCGCCCTTCGTATTTAATCGTATTATCGAATTTCGTTCAAGGAGTTAATCAAATCAGTGGAACCACTTGGGAAATTGTTTGGACCACTTGGGATTTCCGGATATCAGAGTAACTTGGCGTGACGCGGTGTGTTTGCCTCGATTGGCGTCGAAGCAATTCTACTTGCTTTATGGAGACAATGGCGCGAATTAGATTAGGCCAAGTGGCTTCTTGTTAACCGATTAACCAGTAACTCGTTTATAAAACACCCTCAGACCTTCCGCTGGCTGAGCGTTCCACGAAATCGCAGAGGTTTTGTGAGGTGTTTACCGAGGTAACCCTGGTCTCGGAGGAATGGATATAGCTATCTGTTGATGGAATACTGGTTTTAAAAAATCATTTGCTGCTGATTACTTTCTGAATCGGACAGAATCCTCAACAGTAGAGGTTTTTGAATTGACGAAGCTCGCTGAAAACGTTTAGAGAAAGACCGACACAGAATGGGGCTTTTAGTTTTGATCTTTGTCTCCGAATTACACTAACTCTTACTTGTTTATATAAAAGAAAAAAGCGGTCACATTTTGGAATCACGTAACTTCAAAAAAACCCCAAAATAGGCAACTGTGTCATTCTGGAAATGCTCGAATAAAGTTCTGTTGGCTTCTCTGTCAAGTCCAACCTGGAAGCTAAGTAGCTGGAAAATACGAAGGAAATTTAGACACATTTGTGGTATTGGTAGACGAAGCCAGTTTTGTGTACTGAACACCGCAGCGAACCAGCGATTTTGTAATAGAATTGATTCCGTTTTTATTACTTTTTTGACTCTCCAGGTCTTAAATCTTTCCTGGGAAAAAGCGATTGCTGATAACAGCGCAGTCCTACCTACAAATGGCATTTCACTAAGGACTCAAATTTGCTGGTGCTTGAAAATAGCGTTTGTTTAAATATTGGTTCCGCATTTTCATTACATAGACGGATCGGTAGATGCTCCATCCGACTAAGACTGTCACTACGCGACCCGGATAACTCAGGTCCATAAAACTCAATAGCTATCCCATTAATCACGTTTGTGCGATTACACCTGCTTCGACACATTTTAGGTATTTTCTTCCACAAGTAACTTTTTGTCGAAAGTAATTCTGAGCCCACAAGTCTGGATTCTAAAAAGTATGGGCAGCCAAAGAATTACCTAACAGGAAACTCATATGGGAACTGCTTGTGTTTTGTCTGTAAATCTGTCGACGTGGATAAATCGATGTGTTTTATAAAGACGGTTTGGAGGCATTTCCAGGTCAGTAATGCCCTCTGTGCTGACAAGGGCAACTTCAAGGCCGTGCCTGGTGACGAGGTCGCTTGACAACCCACGAAGTCGACTTAACAACAGGCACCAGCGTTGCCATGGTTGTGTGACCCTTCCAGTAGTTGCAGCGCTGGTCAGAAGATAATCGTGCCTGGTTTGGCAGTGGCTGGGCGTCACAAGCCCTGTTGGGCGAAGAGTGGATTCTGTGCGGCAGCGTTTTCGACCAACAAACATGACTTGAGCTGCTACTGACAATCGTAGCGTCTGATCCGATTTGAGGACTGGCGTTTAACGCAATTCCCCGAGGCTACAAAATACTACTCACTTCACCGAAAACTGCCCATTGTGGCAGTTGGAAGAAATTATTAAGTGGGAATGGTCCATGGTTGGTCGGCAAGGAAGGGCTTGTACGTAGCAATTCCAAACAGACTGATAATCAACAAGTCACAATGGAGGTGTGGTACGTTTCATGGAAGGTTCGAAAGATGTGATAGGGGATTTACTAACAGTTCACTTAGTAGATCACCATAACTAGGACAAAAGATAACCACCTTAAACCGCACTCACAAGCCTTGTTGGGTTCTGTTTGGTGAGGCGTAGCGTAGATTCTGTGCAGTAGCGTTTTCTGTCAAAAGACGTCGCAGTAATCAAGGTCTGAAACTGTAGGTGGTAATAGAGTCTATAGTCGTGTAACGTTGCTTGCCTATTCCACAAAATACCACGTTTTTCATTAAAAGAACAGCCTATTTGTGCCGTTTCGAATGTAGCAATGAATAGGTAGAAGTAAGACTAAGTTGTCCAATCACTTGATCTCGTTTTGCGCTAATTTAACT